TATGAGATCCTGAGTGGCTCTGCACTGACCTGGGAATAAGGTTTTAGTTTTGGCTTTGCCACCAGGATGGACATGTCACTCAACCTGTCGGGGTTTGCTTCTATATTCCTAGAATGGCAGGGGCAGACTAGATTATCTCTAAGACTCTTTCTCACCCTAATGTTCTGTGAGTTTTAATTCTTGCTAGTCCTAATCTTTTGCCAATTTAGTGAACAGGGTGGCTTTACTTTTTATTTTTTAACAGATACGGTGTCTCACTGTGGTGCCCAGGCTGGTCTTAAACTCCTGGCCTCAAGTGATCCTCCAGGGTAACTTTTCTTTAGAAAATAAACTAGTCGGGCACAGTGGCTCATGCCTGTAATCCCAACACTTTGGGAGGCCAAGGCGGGAAGATTGCTTGAGCCCAGGAGTTTGAGACCAGCCTAAACAGCATAGTGAGACTCTGTCTCTAAAAACAAAGAAAACAAATAAATAAAGAAAAATTAAATGAAGAAACCCCAGCCTGGCCAACCTGGTGAAACCCTGTCTCTACTAAAAATACAAAAATTAGCTGGGCCTGGTGGCACATTCCTGTAATCCCAGCTACTCAGGAGGCTGAGGCATGAGAATTGCTTGAACGTGGGAGGTGGAGGTTGCAGTTTGCCAAGATCGCACCACTGCACTCCAGCCTGGGTGACAGAGCGAGACCCTGTCTCAGAAAACAAACAAAAAAAAAGAACAAAAAAATAAACCTCTAAGAACTCTAAATCAGCCTTTCTTATGTATAATCTACTTGATAGTCACATGGCCTTTAGAAGTTAGTTGTTGTTGCTGTTTTTTTTTTTTTTTTTGAGACGGAGTCTCACTCTGTTGCCCAGACTGGAGTGCAGTGGCCAAATCTCAGCTCACTGCAAGCTCCGCCTCCCGTGTTTACGCCATTCTCCTGCCTCAGCCTCCCAAGCAGCTGGGACTACAGGCGCCCGCCACCACGCCCAGCTAGTTTTTTGTATTTTTTAGTAGAGACGGGGTTTCACTGTGGTAGCCAGGATGGTCTTGATCTCCTGACCTCGTGATCTGCCCGTCTCAGCCTCCCAAAGCGCTGGAATTACAGGCTTGAGCCACCGTGCCTGGCCTGTTGTTGTTTTGAGACAGAATCCAGCTCTGCTGCCCAGGCTGGAGTGCAGTGGTGTGACCTCAACTCACTGCAAACTCCACCTCCAAGGTTCAAGCGATTCTTGTGCCTCAGCCTCCCAAGTAGCTGGGATTACATGCGCACATCATCAAGCCTAATTTTTTGTTTTTCATTTTTAGTGGAGATGGGGTTTCACCATATTGACAAGGCTGGTCTCAACCTCCTGACCTCAAGTGATCTGCCCACCTTGGCCTCCCAAAATGCTGGGATTACAGGTGTGAGCCACTGTGCCCAGCCATGTATTTTTGTACAATTACTAATGGCAGCAATTGTCTGCAAGCTGCCAGAGCAAATTTTCTAAATCATATTATCCAGAGGCAACTGGGGGCCAACCTTTTTTGCAGGCAACAGCATGAATCTGAGTATAAATACTGGGAAGGAGCCTAGAAATGAACAACAGGCTTCCTGTCCCCACCACGTTTATTTTTTCTATTTTTCTTTTTATTGCAGAGACAGGGTTTTGCTGTTGGCCAGGCTGGTGTTGAACTTCTGGCCTCAAGTGATCCCTCTGCCTCAGCCTCCCAAAGTGCTGGGAGGCATAAGCCTCAGCACCCAGCCCCCATACCATGTTTTTGAGATGGTGTATCACTCTGTCACCAAGGCTGGAATGCAGTGGCATGATCATAGCTCACTGCAGCTGCGACTTTCTGGGCTCAAGTGATCCTCCTACCTCAACCTCCCCAGTAGCTGGGACTATAGGCTTGTGCCACCACACCCTCCTAATTTAAAAACTGCTTTTATAGAGAGGGGTCTCACTATGTTGCCCAGGCTGGTCTCAAATTCCTGGGCTCAAGCAATCCTCCTGCCTCAGCCTCCCAAAGTGCTAGGACTATAGGTATAAGACACCACGCCTGGCCTCAACCCCACTTAATGTGGCTTATAGTACAGGCTGAGTGTTATCTGAAATGCTTGGAACCAGAGGTGTTTTGGATTTGGGATCTTTTCAGCTTTTGGAAATCTGAAATACTTTTGGAACGTCTTTATATACTTACTCGTTGAGCATCCCTAATCCAAAATCCAAAATGCTCCAATGAGCATTTCCTTTGAGTGCCATGTCAATGCTCAAAAAGTTTTAGATTTTGAAGCATTTCCAATTTTCAGAATGTGGATCATCAACCTGTAGTATACTTCTTTAGCTTGGTGAAATAAACATGGGTAGTTAAAGGTCTGAGTAACAAGAGTGGAATGACAGAACTAGGTACTTCTGTAACGATCAGTCAGACAGTAAGCTCCCTATTTTTTCTGCTTCTGATATCCACTTCAACCATGTTGGCAAGGATGGTCGCGATCTCTTGACCTCGTGATCTGCCCGCCTTGGCCTCCCAAAGTGCTGGGATTACAGGCGTGAGCCATGGTGCCCAGCCCAAGCTTAATTTTTAAAGACAGACTGAAAACTGCTTTATTATCAAGGGACTTGCAATCTATGCCTAATTGCTCATGGGCTCAAACCTCTTACTTTTCAGTAAATAAGTGAATTAAACCAAATTACAGAGTAAAAAACATTTCAAAGTATACAGGCATGAAGAGGTTCCCTTGAAGGTGCCTATGAATGGCTTAGAGGAAAATTTTAAATTTAGCTCATTTTCCACTCACAAGATTTTTTTTTTTTTTAAGACAGGGTCACACTCTGTTGCCTGGGATGGAGTGGAGTGGTGCAATCTCAGCACTGCAGCTTCCACCTCCTGGGCTCAAGCAATCTTCCCACTTCAGCCTCCTGAGTAGCTGGGACTACAAGTGCATGCCACCATGCCCAGTTAATTTTTGTCTCTTTAGTGGAGATGGGGTCTTGCCACATTGCCCAGGTGGGTCTCGAACTCTATCTTGAAAAAAAAAAAGGTAGATTAAAAAAATTATAATTAAAAAAATTATGATGAGTTGGCTGGGCGTAAAAAGATAAAAAGAGTTGCCGGGCGCAGTGGCTCACGCCTGTAATCCCAGCACTTTGGGAGGCCGAGGTGGGCGGATCACAAGGTCAAGAGATCAAGACTATCCTGGCTAACATGGTGAAACCCTGTCTCTACTAAAAATACAAAAAATTAGCCAGGCGTGGTGGCAGGCGCCTGTAGTCCCAGCTACTCAGGAGGCTGAGGCAGGAGAATCCCTTGAACCTGGGAGGTGGAGGTTGCAGTGAGCCAAGATTGTGCCACAGCACTCTAGCCTGGCAACAGAGCAAGGCTCTGTCTCAAAAAAAAAAAAAAAAAAAAGAAAAGAAAAGAAAAGAAAGAAAGGAAGGAAGGAAGGAAGGAAGGAAGGAAAAAAAGAGCTAACTAAAAAAATAGAAAAATTAAAAAAAATAAAGACGGGTCTCATTATGTTGCTCAGGCTTGTGTTGACCTGCTAGGCTCAAGCTATCCTCCTACCTCAGCCTCCTGAGTAACTGGGATTACAGGTGCACACCACCACACCTAGCAATATGGTACTATTAAGGGCACTAAATCGTTTAGAACATATTATTATTATTTTTTTTTTGAGACGGAGTCTCCCTCTGTCACCCAGGCTGGAGTCCAGTGGCGCAATCTCGGCTCACTTCAACCTCTGCAGGTTCAAGCGATTCTCTTGCCTCAGCCTCCTGAGTAGCTGCGATTACAGGTGCCTGCCACCATGCCCAGCTAATTTTTGTATTTTTAGTAGAGATTGGGTTTCGCCACGTTGGCCAGGCTGGTCTCAAACTCCTAACCTCAAGTGATCCACCCGGCCAAAGTGACGGGATTACAGGTGTGAGCCACTGCACCTGGCCAAAGATGTCCATTTCTATTCTACGATGCACATGCTAAATCAGAGACAAATCCATATCAAGATCAAATCCAGAGCTGAAGCACAGTGTCAGCATGGTAGGATTGGGAGGAACTGAGACGAGGAACAGGGCAATGCTAAATGAAAAAGTCAAGTCTAAGAGAACTTTCAGGGGGAAATTTGGCCTAAGCTACACTTTGTTTTTTGTTTTTTGAGATGGAGTCTCCCTCTGTCACCCAGGCTGGAGTGCAGTGGCGCTATCTTGGCTCACTGCAAGCTCCGCCTCCCAGGTTCATGCCATTCTCCTGCCTCAGCCTCCTGAGTAGCTGGGACTACAGGCACCCACCACCACGCCCGGGTAATTTTTTTTGTATTTTTTTTTTTTTTAGTAGAGACGGCGTTTCACCCTGTTAGCCAGGACGGTCTCGACCTCTTGACCTTGTGATCCACCCGCCTTGGCCTCCCAAAGTGCTGGCATAACACGCATGAGCCACAGTGCTGGGCCTTGCGCTAGACTTTGAATGGCAAATATAATTTGAATTGAGGGAAATCAGTGTATACAAAGCATAATGACTTCTGTGTGACTAAAATAGATTCTATATAGTGGATAAGCCTTTAGAAGTAGGTTGGTACAAGTTTATAGTAAGCTTTGGATACCAAAATGAAAAGTTTAAACCATCTGTTTTTTTTTTTTTTTTTTGAGACGGAGTCTTGCTCTGTCACCAGGCTGGAGTGCAGTGGCGTGATCTTGGCTTATTGCAACCTGTGCCTCCCGGTTTCAAGCGATTCTCCTGCCTCAGTCTCCCGAGTAGCTGGGAGTATAGGCATCCGCCACCACGCCCAGCTAATTTTTTGTATTTTTAGTAGAGACAGGGTTTCACTGTGTTAGTCAGGATAGTCCCGATCTCCCAACCTCATGATCTACCCATTTCGGCCTCCCAAAGTGCTGGTATTACAGGCGTGAGCCACCACACCCGGCTATCTGTTTTTCAAAGAAGAAGACATTTAGCTTCTGTCTTTATAAAACTAATAATCTGCCTTGGATTGTGGCTAAATTGTGTGAATGCTGGTATTTCAACAGACTGTAAGCATCATGTCTGATTCAATGCTGTATCTTTTATTGGAGTTTAACATGCCTACATAGTAAATACTTGGTAAATGTGCTGAATGACCAAATGATTCCCAGGATGAGCTAGTCAGCTCAGAGTCCAAACATGGGGACTTGGGCCTGGTAAGCCACCTAGGCTTTGAATCAAACAGCTGCATCTGGAACTTTTATGTTAGAATAATAATGCCATATATTACATTTCTGTGCAATAAGTAAGTCCACCTCTAGCTCCTCTCCCCACCATAATCACAGCAGTCAGATAAAAAGTTGAGTTTATTAGGGAAATATGAGAGGCATAGACACTCCCAAGTGACAGAAAGAAAAGTCTAAAAATGTCCCTTCAAGCCAAGTGGGGGCCTGGCCTTGACCTCCCCAAATCAACAAGAAACTGGTGGGTCTGCAACAACATTCTCTGGCAGCCACATTGCCAGGGCATGAGTGTCTTGGCCTGTCAAAGGTGGGGAGGAGATAAAGACTGTTCACAGAAGCAGTGCAAAGGCAATGAGAACTTTAAGGAAAGGTTGAGAGAGAGAGAAAGAAAGATAGAGGCGGGGAGGACCTTTACAAAGAGTCCCAGGGTTTTGGCTGTGAATGTCTCAAATACATTGACAAGTAGATCTATAAAATGTTACTGAAAAGGTAAAATGCCTCATGTCGTTTCCAACAGTTCCTCTGGACCTCTCCCCACATAACACACCACACCCCAGATGGCAGAACCCAAAGGCCATACTTTTGAAAAAAGAAAACAAGAATAAGCCCTGTTGCTCTTTAAGGAGAAAGGAAGGAGCTGAAGGCTGCTGGGGCCTTTCCCATGTGGCCTGTGTTGTGTAAAGCAACTTCCCAGCAGCAGCACGTCACTGTTCTAGGTGAGTGTCTCACCTTTTGTCACCTGTGAAAGGAAAGGAAAATTGCCATTTAGATAAATTCAAAAAGATTAGAGGGGTCTAAAAAAAAATTCTTACTTTAGATCCTAGGCAGTGAGAAATAGTAGAAAAGAAGATAGCTGTGAAGTCACAGAAACCTGGTTCAAATCCAGGCAATCTGCTTTTCTTTTTTTGAGACAGAGTCTCACTCTGCCACCCAGGCTGGAATGCAGTGGTGCGATCTCGGCGCACTGCAACCTCCACCTCCCAGTTTCAAGTGATTCTCCTGCCTCAGCCTCCCGAGTAGCTGGAACTACAGGTGTGAGCCACCATGCCTGGCTAATTTTTGTATTTTTAGTAGAGATGGAGTTTCACCATGTTGGCCAGGCTGGTCTTGAACTTCTGACCTCAGGTGATCCGCCACCTCGGCCTCCCAAAATGCTGGGATTACAGGCGTGAGCCATCATGTCCGGCCAGTGCTTAAGTTTCCTAAGACTGTTTCTGCTTTCAGGTTTTTTTCAGTATAAGTGGAAATGCGCATTCTCTCTTGGAATGCCCTGGCCCATCAAACTCACCCGTGCTTCAATGTACTCTATTCTCCGTTCAAGGGCTGTCAATTTCTCGTTTAGTGTTGCAAGTCTTGAACGACAAGACATATCTGAGAAAAAGAGACTGGTGTTCAGAATTAATGTCACTTCAAACACAGACACAGATACACACAACTCCTACACTGAAAAAGAGGAATAATACACAGAATCCAAATGGAAATGGATACAGTGAGAAGTATCTTAGCACAGTTCCTTAGAGTGGATCTGCTGAATTTCCTATCAAGTATTGCAAGTAGAGAATAATGGCCCCACAAAAATGTCCTTTCCCGCAGGGCGTGGTGGCTCATGCCTGTAATCCTAGTACTTTGGGAGGACTAGACAGGTAGTATCACCTGAGGTCAATAATTCAGGACCAGCCTGGCCAACATTGTGAAACTCTGTCTCTTATTAAAAATACAAAAATTAGCTGGGCATGATGGCACATGCCTGTAATCCCAGCTACTCGAGAGGCTGAGGCAGGAGAATTGCTTGAACTGGGGGTCAAATGTTGCGGTGAGCCAAGATCTCGCCACTTCACTCCAGCCTGGGTGAAAAAGCAAAACTAAAAAAAAAAAAAAAAAAAAAAGTCCTTTCTCTAATCCCTGGATCCTGTGAATATGGATTATACGTGAGGAAACAGGGCTTTGCAGGTATGATTAAGGTTAAGAACCTTGAGATCCTAGAGTTTGTCTTGGATTGTCCATTTGGCCCCAATCTAATCATAAGTCCACAAATGTAGGTGAGAAAGACAGAGGAAGGGGGTCGGAGATGAAATGGAAGAAGAAAAAGAGATTCGATGTATGAAGGGGATGCAATCTGCCATTGTTGGCTTTGAAAGTGGAAGAAGGGAGTCATGAGCCAAGGGATGTAAGTGACCTTTAGAAGCTGAGAACAACTCTCAGCTGACAGCCAGCAACAAAACAGAGATCTCAGTTCTACAACCACGAGAAACTGAGTTCTGCCAACAACCCAATATTCGAGGAACTAGACTTCCTCCTAGAGCCTCCAGAAAGGAAGGCAGTCCTGCTGAAACCCTGATTGGAGCTCAGGCCAGGAGCAGTGACTCATGCCTATAATCCTAATACTTCAGAAGGCCAAGGTATGAAGATTGCTAGCCCAGTTACCAGTGTTCAATTTATGACCTACACATGGTAAATAATAAATTTATGTGGTTTAAGCCATAAAATGTGTGGTAATTTGTTTGTTTGTTTGTTTGTTTGTTTTTGAGACGGAGTCTCACTCTGTTGCCAGGCTGGAGTGCAGTGGCGTGATCTCAGCTCACTGCAACCTCCGCCTCCCAGGTTCAAGTGATTCTCCTGCCTCAGTCTCCCAAGTAGCTGGGACTACAGGTGTGCGCCACCACGCCCAGCTAATTTTTTTTTGTATTTTTAGTAGAGACGGGGTTTCACCATGTTGGCCAGGATGGTCTCAATCTCTTGACCCCGTGATCCGCCCACCTTGGCCTCCTAAAGTGCTGAGATTACAAGTGTGAGCCACTGTGCCCAGCCTGTGTGGTAATTTGTTATGCCAGAAATAGCAAATGAATACACCAAGGCTGTACAGCCATTTACTAATGGCCTAACTAAGACTTTCAAAAGAGGGGACATGGCAAGAATAAGAAAACAATCTCAATAGGAAAGAAATGAGGCCAGGTGCAGTGGCTCATGCCTGTAATTCCAGCACTTTAGGGAAGCCAAGGTGGGCAGATCAGCTGAGGTCAGGAGTTTAAGACCAGCCTGGCTAACATGGTGAAACCCCATCTCTACTAAAAGTACAAACTTAGCTGGGCATGGTGGCAAGTGCCTCTAGTCCCAGTTAGTTGGGAGGCTGAGGCAGGAGAATCACTTGAACCTGGGAGGCGGAGGTTGCAGTAAGCCAGGATCGCACCACTGCACTGCAGCCTGGGTGACAGAGTGAGACTCCATCTCAAAAAAAAAAAAAAAAAAAAAAAAAGTAGAGGCCAAGAAAGCAGCAGAAATTACGGAGAGGGAAAGTAGAGGCCAAGAAAGCAGCAGAAATTACGGAGAGGGAAGGTGTGAGAGTTCTGAGCTCATTAAAGCCATGTCACTACTGTTCCTCCTAGAGGCAAAAGGCCTTTCAGAACTAGAGAAAACTTGGAGAACATCAAATACCCTATAAAGCCCACATTCCATCTGTGAAAACAGCCAAAATTCTTTTTCTTCCTCTAGCTTTTCCAGTCTTCTTTTACCATCTCATTCAAAATGAAACCAGATTTAATTTAAAATATCTTTTTCTCTGCAAACTTCTGTAACAGGAACTATTCTTTTTCCAACTATTCTCAACATATGAGAGAAAAGGTATCTTAGCACGGTCATTATCTTCTACTCTCTCCTCCAACATTGTTGTTCAGTCATCTCTCAATAACCTACAGTTTTTAAGTTTGAAACATTCACTGAGACTCTCCCACGCAATGATTTAACACTTAGCTAACAAGCTGCCTTTTCATCTATTCTCGGGCTGTTTTGCAAAAGTGCTTCAGCATCCATTTTGACAAATCTTCCTACACCCTAATCTTGCCTCAACTTTCATCTTATTATATCCAAATCTTACTCATCTTGCCTGCCTATCTCCCCCAAGGCTAAGTTCAAATTCTATCTCTGAGAGGTCTTGCCAGATGGATATCATAATTCTCTTCTGTATTTACCTAAACATTTACGGATGAATATCTTTTTTTTTTTTTTAAAGAGACATGGTCTTGCTGTCACCCAGGCTAGAGTTCAGTGACGCAATCATAGCTTACTGCGCCCTCCAACTCCTAGGTTCAAGTGATCCTTCCACCTCAGCCTCCCGAGTAGCTAGAATTACTACTCAGTAGGTGGATGCCACTGTGCCCGACTAATTGTTTTCTTTTTTTTTTTTTTGGTAGAGATGGGGGTCTCACTTTGTTGCCCAGGCTGATCTCAAACTCCTGAACTCAAGCAATCCTCCTGCCTTAGCTTCTTAAAGTCCTAGGATTACAGGCATGAGGCCCCGTGCCAGCCTCTGAAGTTCTAATTTGTAAGTTATTCGTGTACTTGGTCTTTGGTTATCACTTCCCTGTTTGGATAAAGATTTTACAAATAAGAATGTGCATCACTATTATTTAAGATGGTGAAAAAGCAACAAAACCAAATGCCCATGACTGGAATGGTTTGATATAGTATATCAATGAGACTATTAAAATAGGCATTAAAAGTTACAATGGCCGGGTGCAGTGGCTCATGCCTGTAATCCCAGCACTTTGGGAGGCTCAGGTGGGCAGATCACTTGAGGTCGGAGTTCAAGACAAGCGTGATCAACATGGAGAAACCCCATCTCTACCAAAAATACACACAAAAAAAGAAACCCTGTCTCTACTAAAAATACAAAAATAGCTGGGCATGGTGGCGCACGCCTGTAATCCCAGCTACTCAGGAGGCTGAGGCAGGAGAATGGCTTGAACCCAGGAGGCGGAGGTTGCAGTGAGTCGAGATTGTACCACTGCACTCCAACCTGGGCAACAGAGTGAGACTCTGTCCCAAAAAAAAAAAAAAGGCTGGCGTGGTGGCTCACGCCTATAATTCCAGCGCTTTGGGAGGCCGAGACTGGCGGATCATGAGGTCAGGAGATCGAGACCATCCTGGCGAACACAGTGAAACTCGGTGAAACCCCACCTCTACTAAAAATACAAAAAATTAGCCGGGCATGGTGGCGGGCGCCTGTAGTCCCAGCTACTTGGGAGGCTGAGGCAGGAGAATGGCGTGAACCTGGGAGGTGGAGGTTGCAGTAAGCCGAGATCACATCACTGCACTCCAGCCTGGGCGACAGAGCAAGACTCCGTCTCAAAAAAAAAAAAAAGTGGCCAGGTGCAGTGGCTCACGTCTGTAATCCCAGCACTTTGGGAGGCCAAGGTGGGTGGATCACCTGAGGCAGTGAGCTGAGATGGCGCTATTGCACTCTAGCCTGGACAACAAGAGTGAAACTCTGTCTAAAAAAAAAAAAAAAGTTACAAGTTTGAGGAGTATTTAATGAAATGGGAAAATGTTCATGTTACAAAGCCAAATGATATATATGTACTTATAATTTACAATTTATTTACATGTCTGTTTCACCATTAGAACAAGTTAATTGAAAGAAGTACATATTGCCTCTTGTAACCTCAGTATCACGCCTGGTACACAGATGTTGACTGAAAAAAAAAGGATGCATTCTGGTACGTTAGTGGAACAAAAGATTGACTCTAGTGTAACTCTACTCACCTTACAAGTGGGAAAACTGAGGCCTAGGTAAGCTGAGGGCCCATGTTGGGTCAGTAATGGGACAAAATAACAGCAGGGCTGAGTTTAGAACCCCGCTCTCTCACTGCCCAGTATGGTATTCTTTCCCATCACACTGTCCCAATGCACACTGCTACCATCTTTCTGTGCCTCCAGGGCTAAAATTTATACCCCAGGTCTCCAGCCCAACTCTGCCACTTTCCATTCTTTTACCTGTTTAAAGTATACAATCAATGGTTTTTAGTATATTTACAGAGTTGTGCAATCATTATAATCTACTTTTAGAATATTTTCATCATCCCCAAAAGATACCTTGTACCTCTTAGTCCTGTCACTTCTCATTCTGCCACCCCTCAGTCCCTGGGAAACACTAATCTTTGTCTCTACGGATTTGCCATTTCTGGACATTCTTCATTCTTTTTATGCTTGTGCTGCTTCCTTGAATTCCCAGGTCTAGCTTAAGTATGATCATTTCAGCATCCCTCTTTTCCTGGATGCACTGCCACTTTCTGTCGGAACTGCCCCACAGGACCAAGCCTCTTTTCAGTCTGGTTTTTGGAAGTCTAAAAGCACATTATGTATGCTAGTGAGTAAGAGCATGAATATTATCTCTGACAACCTGTCATTTCCCATGAAGAAAGACATACCAACTTTATTGGGGGAGGTAAGAGAGAGGGAAGGTGGCTATTCTGTTCTAGTTGTCAATCTGGTAATGAATTAGAATTCAGGAACAATACTATGCTACTGGCCTACATGGATAAACACTGTTGAGAAACAGAAAATGTTCAACTCCAGAAACTTTGATCATATTTCAA